TTGTATGGTGCAGAAACCTGGACGATGTCCCCCCGACCCTGTTGTATGGTACAGACACCTGGACGATGTCCCCCCGACCCTGTTGTATGGTACAGACACCTGGACGATGTCCCCCCGACACTTATCCAAACTATGAGGAGCAATCTACCAGATGTATCAAATACCGTGTCATAAACAAACTACAGCTTTTAGGTTTAGTAAGAGTTTTATGGCACTTGCAACACAATAAGGTCGTATAAGAGCTGAAGAATAGATTGTGTGTTACAGTGGAACTCGGACTCAACGAGGTCGTTGGGCCTGATCTAAAATCTCGTTGAATCCGAGTGTTCGTTATAGCAAACACGAGGTTTTGCGTAGACAATTACAGGCACTGAGCAAGTAATGTAAAAAGAGAAGTCACAAGTAGTGCCTGAAATGCCTGCCTATTATGAGCTGTATAAAAAAAAGAGACCAATTTGTTCAAATGCACGCCCGTGTCATCTCGATTGTTTACCAGTTTACCACAAAGTTGTGTTGCTGTGTAGAGCTGAGCATACGGCAACTTTTGATTCCATAGAGCAGCGCACAATTCACTACGTAGATCTACGTCAAGACTAGCTTATTATTGTAATAATGATCAGTTGCCGGGGGGAAGACTGACGCGTTTGTATATGCGACGTTCAATGCCCGGACCGATAGTGCTCCCCTTCCCCCTCCCCAACACGCACACACAGTCACACGTGTGCAGGCCGCCCATCCGACCCTGACACACGCCAGAGTAGACACGTACGCCTGCGAACAAAACGCGTGTTGGTATAAAAAGGCAGCTGATTGCTCGCATGCAATCGGCTAAGTGAATTAATGGTTCATGATGCAGGTGCAATGGATGGTTTCTGGAAACAGATAAAGTTTGTTCTGGGAGAAAAATGAGCGAAGCCACGTCTGTGGGGGCTGTTCACCCTGGCAGCGACCTCGTTGAATCCGAGCTCGCTGATTTAAGTGCTCGTTGAATCCGGGTTACTTTTATTGATATTAAAGAAGAAAAAAAACGGGGAATCTGTCTCATCTCGTTGAATCCGAGTTCTCGTTGAATCTGAGCTCGTTAAATCCGAGTTCCACTGTACAAAGGAGTAACAAACACAAAAAAGAAGGAGGGGAGATAAGGACGTTTTGATGTTTGATAGGAAAGAAGGAGCAAACCACAGCAGAGCACCCGCCAACCACCCACAAACAAACTACAAGAAATGAGAAACAAGAAAATAAACAATACAAACCACACACAGGAAGTAGCAGCACATGTTTATTTCACTGTACACAGCTGCCTGGTCACTACACATTGGTGTGTGTGTGTCTGTGTGTGTGAGTGTGTGTGTGTGTGTGTCTGTGTGTGTGTGTGTGCGTGTGTGAGTGTGTGTGTGTCTGTGTGTGTGTGTCTGTGTGTGTCTGTGTGTGTATCTCTGTGTGTGTGTGTGTGTGTGTGTGTGTGTGGGTGT